AGGAGGGTGACGGGGGTGGCGGGGACCAGGCACAAAGAGGGGGAGGGGGCTCTGGCTGCAGCTGTCCCGCGAGGGGCCGGGACAAAGGGCCTGCTGGCGGCCAGGCCGAGCCGTTTTCATGCTTGTTGGGATTAGGCGCGGGGGAAAGGCGCTCGGGACCGTGATGATCTGCAGCCCGGTGCAGCTCGGCGCGTGGGGCGGTCGGCGCCACCACCCCTGGCTTTGTGCGCAGCCCTGCCAGAGCCGCGGGCTCTGGGAGGCCACCCCTTTGTCTGCGCCCCTCCGGGGGACCCCCGAACGTCAGCTGAACGCACCACCGCCATGCTCGAGCTCTAGCTGGTCCCCGATGACTGAACAGGTCCACAGGGACTCAGCCCCTCCCCAGACTCTAACATGCCAGACCTCTCAATACAATGAACCCTCCATTTCTCCCGAGCCACTCTGGTCCCATACGCCTGCCAGTTGCTCAACCCAAGGAATCTCGCCTCAAATTTTTGGATGATGAAACATAGTTTAGGAGATGGACTAGCTCTAAGGCTGGGGACTTGGTGGGGGAGGAGGAGGAGGGTTGGGGAGGAGCGGGATTGAGGAGGTACGATGATCTGGGAAGTTCTGGGATAGGGCAAAGTCTAGCTGGTGAGCCCTAGCAAATTGCAGTCTTATTTCTGAGGGGTGGGTGGGAGCATGCACAGAGGTCTGTGTCTGGGAATGAGCGATGGTGCAGGTGTGTTCATACAGGGATGTGAGGGCTTGTCTGCAAACACCTACCTGCTGGGTATGGAGATGTATGCCAGCATGTATGTGAACTTTGGCTCACGTCCCAGAGCATCTCCAATGTCATTCTGCCCTTTCTCACCAGAAGCATCCATGAGACTCACCGGGCTGGTTGTGACGGCCTGCAGCAATGTGGTGTTTTGTTGACAAGATCTGGCCTGGAACTTGTTATATGACTGAGGATAACCTTTGAATTTCTGATCCTCCTGCCTTTACCTCCTGCCTAGCATTTCCCCCACTATACCTGGTTTTATGAGGCTCTCAGAATCAAACCTAGGGCTTCGTGCAAGCTAGACAAGTACTCTACCAACTGAGCTACATCCCCAGCCCGGCAATGTTCGCCCTCCCAAATTAATTTTATTTTATGAGTGTCGTGCCTGCTCATATGTGCCAGTACTGTGGAAGCCAGAAGAGGGTATTGCATCCCCCTGGAACCGTAATTACAGACAGTTGTGGGCCGCCATGAGAGTGCTGGAAGCCAAACCCTGGTCCTCTGCAAGAACAGCCAGTGCTCTTCACTGCTCAGCCACTTCTCCAGCCCCGACAATGCTTTTTTAATACACAGAACCACTGCTCAGCTGCTGTCATCCTCTCATCAAATAATAACAGCTAGGGTGTCTGGGCTGCTTCCAAGTAGTCAGGCTTAGATCTAAGCCTTCCATATGTAATTTACTCATCTAAGCCGGGCGGTGGTGGCACACGCCTTTAATCCCAGCACTCGGGAGGCAGAGCCAGGCGGATCTCTGTGAGTTCGAGGCCAGCCTGGTCTACAGAGTGAGATCCAGGACAGGCACCAAAACTACACAGAGAAACCCTGTCTTGAAAAAAAAAAATGTTTTTACTCATCTGCCTCTTTCACGGCCCTGTACGGTCAGCACCGCTGTTATCCATCCCTATTTTGCAGGTGAACAACGTGAGGCGTGGCCAGTTCCAGGACACAGGCGTCCACTGTGCACTGGAGACCAGTGCCCTCTGGTGCCGCCCACCTGCTCTTCTACTGATTTCTAGGCTCCTCTTCCTCCAAGAAGGAGCACCAGGCATTGCTCCTCTTTGTTCCTACCACCTTACAGGCACCCAGTGTGAGGCACCAACACTGGCTTAGAGTGAAGTCTAGTGGACAGATCACAGGCTGCCGTCAGGGGACAGCCCCTCTCCTCAGAGGTAGCCACTATCTAGTGCTTCTAAAGGTTTCAGGCCCCAGAGTGTGGAGACCACTTAATTTATTTTGAAGCCTCTGACCCTCCCAACTCTGTATTCTTCCCTTCATACCCAGATCATTTCCTGCTCCTCAGTTTTTAACCACGCCCCCTCTGGTCATTTTGTCGGGGCTGATGTAGTTGAGGTCTGTCCTGGTTAGCTGCTGCTGCTGCTTCTTCTTCTTCTTCTTCTTCTTCTTCTTCTTCTTCTTCTTCTTCTTCTTCTTTAATAATTTATTTTTATTTTGTGTGCATTGGTGTTTTGCCTGCATGTGTGTCTGTGTGAGGGTGTCAGATCTTGGAGTTACAGACAGTTGTGAGCTGCCATGTGGGTGCTGGGAACTGAACCCAGGTCCTTTGGAAGAGCAGTCAGTGCTCTTAACTACTGAGCCATCTCTCCAGCCCCCTGGTTAGCTTTTTTTGTCAGCTTGCATAAACCTAGATGTATCTGGGAAGAGGGAATCTGAATTGGGAAAAGGCCTACACAAGATCAGCCTGTAGACAAGTCTTGATTAATGATTGATGTGGGAGAGGCCCTGCCATTTTTAGGTAGTGCCAGCCCTGGGCAAATGGTCTTAGATGGTATAAGAAAGTAGGCTAAGCAAGCCATGGGGAGCAAGCCAGGTAAACAGCTCTCCTCCATGACCTTTACGTCAGCTCCTGCCTCCAGGTTTCTGCCCTGCTTGGGTTCCTACCTTGACTTCCCTGAATGACAGACTCTGATCAGGGCATGTAAGCCAAATAAACCCTGTCCTTTGCAGTATGATTTGTCTTGGTGTTTTGTCACAGCAGAACTCCTAACTAAGACAGAGACCCTCCCTGGTGAGTAAGATCTGGATGAACAGAACTCTCCTCTCTCTCTCTATGGAGGGCTAACTACCCCTTGGCACTTCCTTCATGCTTCAGGTCTGGGACGACAGAGCCTGTTATTGGTGTCAATATCACACCGTGTTCTTCCTAAGCAAGACCAAGTTTTGTTTTGTTTTTTGTTATTTGTTTTTTGTTTGTTTGTTTGAGACATGGTTTCTCTGTGTAGCCTTGGCTGTCCTGGAACTTGCTCTGTAGACCAGGCTGGCCTTGAACTCAGAGATCCGGCTGTTTCTGCCTCCCAAGTGCTGGAATTAAAGTCGTGTGCTACCACCACCTGGCTCCAAGTTCTTCATTTACCATCCAAAACCAGGGTTGGGTATCTATGCTGTATTCATGGACTGTCATTTTTCAGGAGCGGGAGAAGGAGGCAATGACTTCTGCTGGAACTTTTTCAAGTTCGAGAGTCTCTCCTTATTCCCTTCCATCCCCGGGGAATAAAAAAATCCTCACCCCAACAATTAACACAAGCTTCCAGATTAAAAGTCTCAGGCTGAGGGCTGGAGAGATGGTTCAGAGGTTAAGGGAACTAGCTGCTCTTCCAGAGGTCCTGAGTTCAATTCCCAGCACCTACATGGTGGCTCACAACCATCTGTAATGAGATCTGATGCCCTCTTCTGGCAAGCAGGCATAACACTCTATATGTAATAAATAAATCTTAAAAAACAAAACAAAACAAACAAAACCCAGCAAGAGGCAGAGGCAGGTGGATCTCTGTGAGTTCGAGGCCAGCCTGGTCTACAGAGCTAGTCCAGGACAGGCTCCAAAGCTACAGAGAAACCCTGTCTCAACCCCCGCCCCCTCCCAAAAAAAAGGTCTCAGGCTGAGACCTGCTCAGAGTCTTGGTGTCCCCTTCCCAGTCTCAGTCTCAGAGTGGCCTCTACATTCGGCTCCCAAACTAAAGCCTTGTTCATCTTTGAAGGCCAGAGCTGTGCAAGGGCAGGGTTAGGGTGGAGCCCTGGAGGTCCCATGCAGAGTAGGAGTTTAATCTTTTTTTTTTGGGGGGGGCTTGTTTCGAGACAGGGTTTCTCTGTGTAGTTTTGGTGCCTGTCCTGGATCTCACTCTGCAGACCAGGTTGGCCTTAAACTCACAGAGATCTGCCTGACTCCGCCTCCCGAGTGCTGGGATTAAAGACATGCGTCACCACCACCCAGCAGGAGTTTGATCTTAATGCCTACAGAACACCTGAAGGTCCTTTTGCTCAATCTTTATAACTGTCACAAGTGGGGAAACTAAGTCTGGCCCACATGAGGTGCAGCTGTAGCCTTGGCCCCTCCCACATCGATTTCCCACCTAATCGGGAACTACAATTCTAGATCTGGTTGGCTCAGCCACTGGGGTCCCGCCTCCTGGCCCCAAACCCTGCTGTATTGGTTGTGGCTCTGGCCAGTCCCCTTTTCAAACCTACCTCCACCCCAACAACTGGGCCTATCCCTAGACCCCAAATGACTAATAAGGTCCTGTAACATACAATGCACCTGTGTCCTTGGCCGGTCCTCGCCTTTTGCTCACCTCAGAGCCCCCTAGCTCCCAATTCTTACCTTCCCCATCCTGTATTGGGGCTCGAATCCAGTCTCTCTCTCATGCTGCTAAGCACCCTCAACCTTCAAAGAACTTTTCATATTTTTTTATTGTTTTTACAGGCATTTGTTGATTTGTGTACATGAGTTGGGGGCACATGTGCCACAGGTGGAGGAGATCAGGGACCAACTTGTGGGAGTTGGGTTTTTCTTGTTCTATCATGTGGGGCATGGGGATCAAACTCATGTCTTTAGGCTTGGCTGCAAGTAGGCCCACCCACACTGAGCCATCTCACAGGCCCCAAGAACCCTTCATGGAAAGGAATATTAAGTCACTGTATTTTAAAACTGAATCTCTGACAGTCCAAGCTGGCCTCCAACTCCAGGCTGGTCTTAAATTTCTGATTCTCCTGCCCCAACCTCCCAAGCTGAGATTATAGGGATGCTCCAACCACAACAGGTAGACTCTACTTTGGTTTGGTTTGGGGGTGGGTGTGTTTGTGTATGTTTCTCTGAGATAGGGTCTCACTTGTGAAGCCCTGGCTGTCTGGAAACTTGCTGTATAGACCAGGCTGGGCTCTACCTCACAGACAGTGTGAAAGAAGCCAGCAGGCAACAGAACAAAAACACATCCTCAAAACATTTAATTTTCTGTCTTAGTTTATTTATCCGGGATTGGTCCAAAGGCCAGGTTCACATTCAACATGCAAGAACAATAGAAAGTCCCCAGGGTCCACATTTCACCCGCCCACCCATCAAGGATGGAACTCTTTGGTGACAGGGTGGAAGGGCCCCCCGTTTGCAGGTGGGTAGACTGAGGCCAGCCAGAGGCACCATCGGTGTCTTCCCTGTCACCTGCCACCGTTCCTTCTCCACGGCATTGCTCACCCACTAGGAACCAACACAAAAGGCTGCACGACCTTCATGATTGGTCGGCCCAGTAGGCATTCATCTCCAAGGCTTGAAGCCTCTGCTGGGGCCTGTCATCCCTGTTCAGAGGAGCCATGCAGAAAAAGAAAAGTGTAGCCAACCATCCTAAGAGCTTCAGAGGCTGCACTGATTCTGCCCGCTCGGGAAGCTGAGCTCTGGCTCCTCCCAACAGTCAGATTTCAGAAACAATGAACCAAACCAATTGGCCATTGATTGTTGCTAAAGCAGAGGAGGCAGCAAGGGGGAGATGAAGAGAAGGGCGGATTCCTCTCACGCCCGACAGCCTGGGGACTTCTGGTCTATGACCTGCATGCCTATATGCACACAGTCCCCTTCAGCAGAAACTTCAATTAACATGGTGCTCAGGCTCTCCTCAGCGTGGCAATATGGTGTTTTAAAATTCCCTTCTTCTGTTCTTCAGAGCTCTAACATCATCAGTTTCTCCCATCCTCACCTCCCCAGGAGCCAAAGACAGGGTTCAAGAAGACAGTTTCTTTTTCTTTTTCTTTTTTGATTTTTTGAGACAGGATTTCTCTGTGCAGCCCTGGCTGTCCTGAAACTCGCTCTGTAGACCAGGTTGGCTCGGAACTCAAGAGATCTGCCTGTTTCTGCCTCCCGAGTGCTGGAATTACAGACACGCGCCACCACCGCCCCTTGAAGATAGTTTCTTATGTCTTTCTTTATCCCCTCCCCCACCCCTGCTACTGCCTCCACCATGACGCCAGTTCCCTCCCTGAGACCCATTCGCCACCAACTGCCCTGACCAAACAGCAGCAAATGTGCCATGGAAGGCTAGAGCAGCCAATAAGCCTCTTAATGGGCTGGAGGTGCAGCTCAGTGGTGAGACATTTGCCTAGCATGCACAGGCTTTGGACTCAATCTCTTGTACTGTAATAAGCAAAACAAATAAAAAGCAACCACCCCAAATTTAAAAAAAAAAAAAAAGCTCTTACCAAAAAGCCAGCATTAGGGACAGCGGTCTTAGCTAACAGAGCAAGGTCTGGTTAAATGATGGGAAGGGGCAGGAGGTAGCCTGGGAAACTCCAGGAGAATGGATAACCACCACCCTCCAATATATGCCAGCAAGACAGGCTTCTTTCTCCAGGAAGCTGAGACTCGGTAGAGAACAAGGCTGGGGTAGACTCTGGGAACACAGGGGATGGGTGGGTGCCTTGCAGGTGCAACTGAACATATATTTGCACACACCTGCTCCTAAGTCTCTCTGCAAATACACATGTTCCTAACACACGCTTCTTACGCCAGCACTGGCACATGTAAGTCTCAGCACACAAAGGTTCATCCACACCCAACATAAGCCTGTACACTTAACTGATACATATGCATACAAATCTTTTGGGTGTACACCTTATTCAGGAATATATACACATTCCTAGGCACCTAGCCACACATGCATACATAAACACACATGCTACACATAATACATACAACTTCATCCACACATGCCTGGACATACCTGCCTACATGTGAGTACATACGGACTCACTTATGTTTACTTGCGCTCAGGCCAACTAATACTCATGTACTTACTTGTGCATAACCACACACAGACCTGCAAATACACACACTCGTGCGCGGCCTTAGCAATGGTCCTGGTGCCGGCAAGGTGCGTCCCTCTGTTGGAGACATCGGATAAGTTCCTTTCGGTTGTCTAGGATGGTGTCAAAGCTCTCTTGCAGTCGGGCCTGCTGGTCAACCAGCTGGTGCTGGAGAGCCCGGATCCACTGGAGCAGTGCCAAGCGCCGGTACATCACCAAGTGCGCGTGGTGTTTCTCCTTCTCCTGCTCTTTGTAGCGCTCCTGCGCCTGCAGCTGCTGCACAGCCTGGGCCACGGAGGGCAGAAGGGGATCCAGAGGGCTTGGGCCTCGAGGGGTCCCACAGACAGGCTCTGGGCTGCTGCTAAGGCTGTCGGCGCTCAAGGAACTGCTGGCATAGCCGATGTCCTCCAGAGGAGAGCAGACACTGCTGGCGGCACTCAGCTTCTCAGGCTCAGCCCCAGGGATCTCTGCACCCTCCGGGGGACTGCGGACTCCCGCCTCCAGGAGCCCAGTGGCTTGGAAGACCTGGTTGTCAGAGGGTGACTCAGAGGAACTCCTCACCAGGGTGGGTTCCCTTTTGCCTGGCACACCATGCCAATTCCTATTGGCATCCTTAGCACTCTCCACAAAGTTGGAATTATTGTCTGCTTGGAGCTCGGGTTGACAGACTCCAGGAGGCAGGCCCCCCAGGAACTGGGCCCCCTCTGCTAGCCCTGGTTGGATGGCCGAGAACATCTGGTCTGTGAGGAGGAAGCAAAGGAATGAGTCACACAGCAGGACAGGGTAGAGTGGCAACCTTGGCCCCAGGAACCTCTGCATGGCTTCCTTCCTTCTCTCTGATTAGCTCGTCTGTCTCCCTCATAGGTTTTCCCTTTTCCCTTGAAGGCCGACCGGTCTCTTCATTCTACATACTCCCCCCTGCCCCCCATCACTTCATTCTCTGTGGGAGCTTTAAGAACCATGTGTGGGTGACTCGCAGATATGTGTCCAGCCCAGACACAACTGCTAGTCAACCTGGCAACCTACCAAAGGCTCTTCAAATTCGACACACCCAAGCAGCTCCCCTCTTCAGGGTCCTCAGGCAAAAGAGCTCTGCTATCTGGTGAGTCAATCTACCAGATGCTTAGGACCACCCTGGACTGCTTACCTTCCTTCCTCACCACCCGACCCCCACTGTCCACACTCTGACAATTCTTCCTCTTGGCTCTCACTTGGTTCTGGTCACTTTTTGTCCACATGACTGTCACAGACTTTTCCCTGACCTTCCTCCAGTTAAAAATATAAATGTAGGGGCTGGAGAGATGGTTCAGCAGTTAAGAGTACTTCCAGAGGACCCAGGTTCAATTCCCAGAACCCAAGTTGGATGGTTCACAGTTACCTGTAAAGCTAGCTCCATACCAACACCCTCTTCTGGCCTCTTTAGGCACACACACACACACACACACACACACACACACACACACACACACACACACACGAATATTTTTTTAATTTTTAAAATGATGACCAGTTAAATAACAACAAATAATATTTTTTAAAAAGAACATGTATCAGCCAGGCAGTGGTGGTTCACACCTTTAATCTCAGCACTTGGGAGGGAAGCAGAGGCAGGTGGATCTCTGTGAGTTTGAGGCCAGCCTGGTCTACAGAGTGAGTTCCAGGATAGCCAGGGCTATTCAGAGAAACAAACAAAAACAGAAACAAAACAAAACAAAACAACTCTGTCTCTCTCTATGTGTGTGTGTAGACAGATAGACATATATATATATATATATATAAATTTAGCTCATACTTGTAACTCAGCACTCTGGAGGCTAAATCAGGAGGGTTGCAAGTTCAAGGCCAGCCTGAGCTACATAGCAAAACTCTATCTCAGTAAAAAAAAAAACTACCATTCTTGTAAAATGTGTACGTGTGATTGGAAATTGACTGCTGTCCCTAAGAACTGTTAGACCTCTGCAGTCCTTGCCTTGTCTGGCTCTGCTGCATTATCACCACTCCGTCTCTCTCTTCCCACCAAACCACTCAGGCACACCACTGTCCAACAGTCTTCATCTGGCCTCAGTACTCTGCACCATCCTTCCCTCTAAGCGCCTCCTTTCCACCTAGAAATTTCTGTTTTTGTGTTTCAAGTCTACCTGTCTGAAGCCCACCCATTGCGGCCCTGCCCGGATGCATGCCAACTACACGGGAACTAGGACACCTCTGGCTCCCCACTGCCCTCGGGTACCCTGTCCTATCCAAGTGTCTTTCCCATCCCTGGCATACATTGTTGATGGCCACCAAATGCCTAGTCAACCGGAGCTGTTTGTTTAAACGATCTTGTGATCGCCTCTAATCTGGCTCCTTGGCCAAGACTAAGAACTCCTTTGTGTACACTCTGGCGCGGCGGTTCTCAACCTGTGGGCCGCGACCCCCCTCGGGTTGAAAGACCCTTTCGCAGGGAATGCCTAAGACAACTGCAAAACATAGATATTCACACTACTATGGATAAGAGCAGCAAAATTACAGTTATGAAGTAGCAACGAAATAGTTTTACGGTTGGGGGGGGGTTACCACACCATGAGGAACTGCCTTAAAGGGTCGCAGCATTAGGAAGGCTGAGAACCACGGCTCTAGCGTATACGCAGCAGTAGCAGGTGTCAGGATTTACCCGCTGAGTGAATGAGAGCACTACAGTGGATTCCTGTACTTAGGGAGACAGTGATGGCAGCCCTAGGCGACTGCAGAGGACCCAGGGCTGAAGAGTTGGTCTCATTCTCCTCCTCCACACTAAGGCGCCCCTCCTCCTGAACCCACAGTAACAGGCCTCTCTTGCAAGCCAGTCCCTTCCGGTCGGTTCGCCTTGCTCCTGGGACACACTCACTGTACCCAGCTTGCTCCATCCTGCGGACCCCTCCTCCACTCCCTTCCCTCACGACGCATTTGGGTTTGAACCGCCAAGCGGTTCTACGGACCACATGGCCATGCCTGGAAGAACTGAGGACTCCTGAGTGAAGAATGCTATTAAGTCACGCAGCCTCCAGGAAGGTTCCCCTCTAGGGACCCTCCCCACACCCAGCAGTGGGCAGAAGTCCTGAGAGTGAGGCGGGGACAGATGTTCACCCCTTTGGCTTGTGAGAAAAGGCCTGAAGGTCTTCCCTCCTCTCTATTTTAAATTTTTTTCCTAAAAATTCTGGCTAGGCTCACAAAGAACGCTGGGGTGAGGCCGGCATGGGAGCGGAGCTAAGGATCCAGCTTCAGAGTCAGTGAAATGTGAGTCCAGACATCCCAGGATCTGGATTTCCCCCAAGCTAACCCATAGTGTACGGGGAGGGGGGGGGCGGCTGCCTCGAGGGAGACATCACTGTGACCCTAATCTCTGCAGAGGTAGCTCCCGTCCCCGTCCCCGCACTCCCGCGACTGGGCCCCAGGCCCTCCATCAGGGCCCGGACTCACGGCCTAGAGGCGCCGGCTCCTGCAAAGCTGGCTACGGTTCCTCCGGGGCCTGGTAGCTGCGGGGTGGAGGGGGGTGGGGGGGTCCTCCCTGCGCGTGCACGCGCCCTGGCGTGGCTGCGCAGTTCCCGCACCGCTCGCCCAGCACGGCCCGGACTGCACAGTCCAGCGGCGTCTGCGTGACTGGGCGGGGCGGCCTGACCCACGTGGGCCGGTTCGGTTCTCCGCAGGAACTGCCTCCTCCCGCAGTTTGACCCGATCCTTCCAGGTCCGGTGTCATCTCCTAACCATCGTGGCCGGGCGCCTCGGATCCATCGGCTCGCCTTGCTGCAGACATGGCGACGATGTGCCTCCTTCCTGGGTCTCCCGGTGGGTGGCTCGGGAAATCCGCGAGGTCGCGGTCCGCGTCCGGTCCGCTGCAGTCCTTACCCTGCCCGGCGCTCCGCTCCTTTTGTGTTTTGCACACACCTTTCTGCTGAAAAATTCTCCCTTCGTTAACTCGTAGATCTGTGAGGACCCTTCTGAATCCTAGACCTGGTTATTCCTTCTTCTATCCTCAGAGCCAAAGAAAAAAAAAAAGAACGGTTTTTCCTTCACAACATTTCTCACTGTACTATGCCTATTTGATTAGATTCATTTAGTGAAAGCTATGTGGATTTTGTTGGTTTGCTTGTTTGTTGTTTTGAGTCAGAGTCTCATTATGTAGCCCTGGCTGTCCTGGAACCATGTAGACCAGGCTGGCTTCCAAGGTACAGAGAGATCTCCCTGCCTCTGCCTTCCAAGTGCTGGGATTAATGGTGTTCACCACCATGCCTGGCTATGGTCTAACACAGCGGTTCTCAACTGGTGGGTCACGACCCCTTAGGGGTGCTCTCCTAAAACCATCAGAAAACATAGATATTCACATTACAATGCTTAATAGCAAAATTACAGTTATGAAGTAGCCATGAAAATAATGTTATGGTTGGGGGGGTCACCAAAACATAAAGGGTCGGGGCGTTAGGAAGGTTGAGAATCACTGAGAATATAGAGTACCTGGAAAAGGGCTCAGGGTTGATGCCTTGTACCCAGGACCGGGGGTGGGGGTGGGGTGGGGGGGTGTTCTTCTTTAAAGGCCAAAGAACTTGGTGGCACCTTCGAGGTGGATTTCTGTGCTTTTGTCCAGGTGAAGAAGAATGTAAGACAGGGTCCAGGTTTACAGACGCCAGTGGATTCTTCCCAGAGTTCTATTTACTAAGCTGCTCCTCCAGGGGTGGGTGGTGGGTGGGATGCAGTTCTCTTTCTCTTCCTTCCTTCCTTTCGTTCCTTTTCTTTTCTTTTCTTCTCCTCTCCCCTCCCCTCCCCCCTGTGTGTGTGTGTGTGTGTGTGTGTGTGTGTTTGTGTGTGTGCAGGTACCCAGAGGTCAGAAGAGGACATCAGAAGCCCTAGAGCTGCTGAGAACTGAACTCTGCTCCTCCACAAGTGAGCAAACTCTTAACCGCTGCCATCTCTCCACCCCCAAGAGACCCAATTCTCAACCAAATAACAGCAATCACTGACCCAATGATAAGGCATCCTCTTTTGATTCCAAGTTGACTTCAATTCACCATACAACCTACTGACCAAATGACACAATCACACCAGCAAATACGCAGAGAAGGGACATGGGAGAGAAACAATGTGATTGTGGCAATCACCATTTTAAGATGATAGATAGCAAGTTAGAAGTGGTGGCCCACACCTGTGATCCCAGCACTTGGAAGGCAGAGGCAGAAGGATTTCTGTGAATTCAAAGCCAGCCTGGTCTATACAGTGAGTTCCAGCCAAGGCTACATAGACTCTGTATCAAAATCCGAACCAGTCAGCCACACAAATGAATTTAGGGCATTCCTTTTAACTGAAATACATATGCAACAACCTCAATCCCCTTTCTACATCAGGTGCTCAGAGGCCTAACTGGTCTAAGGTTGTGCAGTGTTCTACATATCATAGAGCTAGGAAGGGGATGTCTCTTGGTGGTAGGTCACTTGCCTAGCACAAGGGCCTAGGTTCAGTGCCATTACAGGAAAATAACAGCTGTTTAGAATAGCTCTTCCTGCAGGCTCTACCCCTCCCAACTCTAACCACATGGCTCAAACAAGAGCCTGATGCATCTAAAGATGGGAACCCTGCTCCTTCTTCCTTTAGAGATGAAATTAAAAGACAAAATGGTGGGGACTGGAGAGATGGCTCAGCGGTTAAGAGCACTGACTACTCTTCCAGAGGGCCTGCACCCACATGGCAGCTCACGACTGTCTATAATTCCAGTCCCAGGGGATCTGACACCCTCACACAGATGTACATGCAGGCAAAACACCAATGCACATGCTAACATCCCAGTCTCTGCTTCCTGAGAATTCCTAGGTTTTTTTTTTAATATTTATTTATTTATTACATATACAGTGTTCTGCCTGCAAGACAGAAGAGGGCGCCAGATCTCACTATAGATGGTTGTGAGCCACCATGTGGTTGCTGGGAATTGAACTCAGGACCTCTGGAAGAGTAGTCAGTGCTCTTAACCTCTGAGCCATCTCTCCAGCCCGAGAATTCCTAGTTTTGATGCTTTCACATGAAGTCCATATTTTGCCATGGCCAGCCTGAGTGGACTTTATCTCACTGATAATCAAAAGATTCCTGAATAAATACGCTAGCACAAGGTAACCCTAGGTTCGGATTGTGCACACAATATTGTAGTGATATATTGTGTACTCTAATAAACTGGCCTGGGGATCGGAGGACAGAGACAGCCACTAGATTAAACATAGAGGTCAGTCAGTGGTGGCACATACTCTTAATCCTATCACTCGGGAGGCAGAGATCCTTCTGGATCTCTGAGTTCAAGGTCATACTGGAAACAGAGCCAGGCAGCAGTGGCACACATCTTTAATCCCAGTACTGGGACTCACACAGGCCTTTAATCCCAGGAAGTGACAATGGCTGAGCAGAGAAAGATATATAGGGCATGAGGAAACAGGAACTAAAGCAGTTCAGCTGAGATCCTTTCGGGTGAGGACTCAGAGGCTTTCAGCCTGAGGAAACAGGATCAGCTGATGAGTTGGTGAGGTGAGGTTAGCTGTGGCTTGTTCTGCTTCTCTATCTTTCAGCATCCACCCCAATATCTGGCTCAGGATTTTTTATTAAAAGACCATGGAAGATTTGAACAACAGCTGTTGTGTAGTTGTGTACTCTGAAGTGGAGCGCTAGAGGGAGAGCTATGAGATACAGGAAGCTAATGATACCCCACGACCCTCTTCAAGGTAATGAGAGCAGTGAGGGGTTGCTAGGGCAACCGAGACTCTCTGCATTGAAGCTGCCATCCAGCTGTGCTGGAAGCTCCAGGGATGCAGGTGTTGTGAGTGGTCACCCATGCTGGATTCGGGTTTTCAGGGATACCTTTGAGTCACCGATGCCCCTGTGAGTGAACCCCGACCTATGCTCCTATAAGCAACCCCAGGCAGCTCATTGGCTCACCAAGCTAGACTTTGGTGGAACTGTTTCTTCAGTCTGGCATCACTGCCCTCTCTAGGGTGAGTAGATGTTTGTTCGTGTCTCCCCAAGAGAAGTCAGACAACTGCTTAGCCCTCAGTGACTGCTATCAGCTCTTTTCCTCTTGATAGACACCAGCAGGCTGATACGGCCTGTGATCCTCCATCATCTAGAAGGGGAAGGGGCCCGAAACACAAAGAAATCATCTCTGTGTTCCTAGCTAGGCTCAAGACAACTCTACTTCCTGACCTGCAGAACCTAGAATCTCAGAGACCAAGCGGACTTGCAGAGTTAGTCTTCAGGTGCAGCCACATACGGTGCCATACCCTTCCACTACCTTTTTATATGTATTCTGACCTCAAAACACAAAGGATTACATATTGAAGCTAGGCACTTGTGGTTCCATCCATTCAGAAGGCCAGGGAAGGAAGAACACTTGAGACCAAGATTGGGAGGCCAGCCTGGGCTACATGGTAAACAGATTTAGATATCAAGGCTGGAGAGGTTCCCAGCACCCACATGACAGTTCACAACTGGCTGTAATTCCAGTTACAGGAGATCAGATGCTCTCTTCTGGCCTCCACATGTACATGATGCAAGCAAATAGCCATACACATAAAATAAAAGTAAATGTATCTTTTAAAAAAGAATTATATATAGGAGATGGATGGTCCTCCAGGTCCCTGCTTCACAGACAAGACTGCCAGACACTCTGCAGACACAGGGAAAAGTGACTGATGAACTTTGCCAATAGGCGAGACAATTCTTCAAATTTCCTGCTTCACTAAAAAGTCTGCCAGAGACTTTAGGCCTGTAGGCTGGAAATGGATGCCCCAATGTTGCAGAGGAACTTTGGGTGACTGTCCAGGCAGCCAAATGTCTCTGTCATTTCTAGAACTTTGGAAGTTACTTACAATGTGCTTCCTGTTTATATCGGTAATATTATATCCTTCTGGGATCTTTGATGGAGTTGAAAACCAGATAGTTATAGTTTTTCTTAGTCATGATAAAAGATAAATATGAAACTTTAGCCTCACAAATATAGGAGAGATGATAAGAGTATTTTCTTTAATCTTGCCAAATACAAATAGACTAGATATTGTAACTGTAATTCTTGCTTGATAATTGTGATATTATATGTAATTTTACTATGTTAAAGTTAAAACCTTCTGTTACTTGGATTCTAATGGCTCCCTCTGGGAAGGGGTGAGAAGGCGCGGCATCAATGACTGAGACACCAGGAATATGTTGAAAGCAAATAACAAACTCATTTATGCAATAACAGGGTAGGCCTTATATAACCTCTTCCCAGTGCCCAGTATGTGTGGTCGTCCCTCATTGGCTGGGCATGATCAGGAACTCTGACATCACATTGACTGTTGCTAGGTCCTCAGGCAGACTCGGCATGATCAGGAACTCTGACAGCTCCTGTTGCTAGGCCCTCAGGCAGACTCCAGGTTGGCTTTTAAGGAGTACATTATGTGCATGCCTTGGCTACTGGTCTGAGCCAATTTCCTTGACCCTATGAGCCTGTCCTACTACAACCTTCCTTTTTAATTAGACAGTTAAAGGGGAAGTACTGTGGGAGTACTTTCTGTATGCTGTGAATATGTGTTGCTCTGATTGGTTGGTAAATGAAGCTGCATTGGCCTATGGCAGGGAAGGATAAGGTTAGGTGGTATTTGAACCAAAGATGAGAGAAGAAGGGTGGAGTCAGGGGAGATGCCA